TTCTATTCCATATTCTATTCTATTCTATATGTATAGAATTCTATATATATCTATTTTCTGCTCTATTTTCTATTCTATTCTATTTTCTATTCTATTTTCTATTCTATTTTCTATTCAATTCTATTTTCTATTCGATTCTATTTTCTATTTTATTTACTATTCTATTTTCTATTTATTTTCTATTCTATTTTCTATTCTATATTCTATTCTCTATTCTATTCTATTTTCTATTCTATTCTATTTTCTGCTCTATTTTCTATTCTATATTTTCTTTTCTATTCCAGATTCTATTCTATTCTATACAGATAGAATTCTATATTCTAATCTATTTTCTATTCTATTCTGTTTTCTATTCTATATTCTATTCTATTTTCTGTTCTATTCTATATAGCAACCCATCTGATAACCAACTCTACAAGGCTCCCAAATCGAAAGTAAAAACATAAAAAGCATGATAAAACTATAGAACAGCAATCAATACATTATATTAAAAGCAATACGTTATATTAAAAACAATCAAAAAGGTGGCCTCTGTAACAGGCCCTGTCCTGCATAGGAAGCATCTGGTGTCCTTGGCCAGCAAGACAAGAAGAAAAAAAAACCCTTGAATCTTCAAGAAGTTGGAATCGTCAGGACAAACTAGGAAGAGAGCTTGGAGAAAAATAGTCACGGTTTCCCTCTGCTGGAAGATGCCACAAATAAGCTTCAGCCCAAAATTTAGATGGCTAACTTGGATCCAACATCCATCTATCTCTCTCTCTGCCTATCTTTTTTCTCTTTTTTTTGAAAATTTTATTTGGGTTTTCACAAAAACAAAACACAAATAAAACATCTTTTTTTGAAAATAGCATGGTTCCCAGGTTATCACTTCTTCATACAGACACAAAACTCAATTTTCATGCTCATTTTTTATATTCTATTCCATATCTTATTACCGTTTTGTATTTTCTACATAGTTTTTCCCCTCTTTTAATTTTCTCAACTTTATTTTAATTATCTCATCTCAATTCAAATCATTGTATTTATACTTTTGTCTGTCCTGTTTCGATTTCATATTATCTTTTCTCATTAAACAATTTTTTCCCCGTAGTTACCAATTGGAGTATGACACCTTTATATCTTTTAATTTTATCCATTCAAACTCTTATTTAAGCTTCAATGTATACCTTTAAAATTATAGCATTCGATATAATACATAACTTCCAATCGAATTCTGCTTGGTACGTTCTTAAAATGCACACTATATTCTTAAAAAGAAATATATATATCCTCTCTCTCTCTCTCTCTCTCTCTCTCTCTCTCTCTCTTTCTCTCTCTCTCTCTGTGTGTGTGTGTGTATATATTCTTAAATTTTCGCGGGTACTTACATGTATGGCATTCAGCTTTGTTCGGATATTTTCCCACGTCATTATAGTTGTGCTTTTAAAGTTGTAGCAACGTTTTGGCAGAATCTCATCTGCCATCATCAGGCTTCTGTATTGTGTTCATCTGTGAGTTAGACTTTTACAAATTTAAAACTGAAACCACTGTAAAAGTCTGACTCACAGACGAACACAATACAGAAGCCTGATGATGGCAGATGAGATTCTGCCGAAACGTTGCTACAACTTTAAAAGCACAACTACAATGACGTGGGAAAATACCAGAACAAAGCTGAATGCCATACATGTAAGTACCCGTGAAAACTTAACACACACACACACACACACACACATATATATACTGTCTATCTATCTGTCATCTATCATCTGTCTGTCTATCATGTCTGTCTGTCTATCATCTATCATCTGGCTATCTATCATCTGTCTGTCTGTCTGTCTGTCTGTCTATCTATCTATCTATCCATCTATCTATCTATCTATCTACTAGCAGAGTTGGAAGGGACCTTAGAGATCTTCTAGTCCAACCTCTGCTTAGGCAAGAAACCCTACATCACTTCAGACAAATCAATCATCCCCTCTTTCTCTTATCTAATCATATATGTCATTTAGGTAGTACATACTTGTAATAAATAAATAAAATGAAACCCTAGCAAACAATGGCTTTACTTAATGACTGCAGCATTCGTTTTAGGACTGCCCCGTTTGCTGAACGAGTACTACATGTCATAAAATCAGCTTTATGACTGTCAACAACATATATGACCAAAATAGGCGGGCTCCCTTCAGGGCCGTTATGTTGTGGACTACCTGTAATTTTCTCCATTTGCAATTCTGGACAAAAGAAACAAACACGTAAAAAGTCTGCAAATCTTCATTTTTATTTTATTTATTCCATTTCTGTGGCCGCTCAATTCAACCAAACGATTCTGCGCAATTCAGGTAATGTTAGTTGCACTCTTCTGCATCTTAAAAAAGGCACCAATTTGCTTCTCACAGTTCAGTCCTCACACTCACACACAAACACACCCTGCAAAGACCCACAAGGAAGAGGCTGCAGCAAACAGAAATGCCTATTGTAACTTCAGAGTTTAAAAAAAAAAATAGCCAGTATACATCAGAAGCAATTTCTTTCTACACAGGGAGTCCTTGACTTAAGACTACTGCAGAGGACAAATTTCCATCACTAAGTGAGACAATTAAGTGAGCTTTGCCCCCATTTTATGAACTTTCTTGTCCCAGTCGTTAAGTGAATCACTGCACTTGTTAAGTGAGAAACGTGGTTATTGTGAATCTGGCTTCCCCAATGACTTTGCTTGTCAGAAAGTCACAAAAGGGGATCACGCTGGGACCGTCGTAACTATGAATCAGTTGCCAAGTGTTGGAATTACATGAACGCTGCAATGGTCGGAAGTGTGAAAAATGGTCGTAATTCACTTTTTCCCAGTGCCGTTTAACTTTGGATGGTGACTAAACAAATTGTTGTAAGCTGAGGACTAATTGTATATCTTCATCTTTTTCCTTATTGCACTTTTAACTTTTTCTGTTGAATCTCTTTTTCCGCCGTTTTCACAGTTCTATTTTAGTTTGTATTCATTCTTGTTACTGTCCTTAAAAAGTTTCATAAATATTATACAGTTCTTATTCATACCTTTTTGTTATTTTTCCTTGTTTCCTGTTTTAGTTTATATTCATTCTTACCATTAAAATGTTTAATAAAAATATACAGCTATATATTAAAAAAGTGAATGCCGGCTCTTATTCATAAAAACTTTTTCAATTTTTTCCCCCTGTTTCCTCTGTTCTATTTGAGTTTGTATTCATTCTTATAGTTCTTAAAGTGTGTGTGTTAATCTATCATCGATCTTTAATCAGTCTATTTATCGATCTGTGTCTGTCTCTATCATCCATTAATCTGTCTATCTTTAATCTATCATCTATCTTTAATCTGTCTCTGTCTGTCTGTATCACATTTTAAGGATGATTAGAATTTAAATTAAATAGAACAGAGGAAACCACACACACACACACACATTTTTTAAAAAGGAACATCCAAGCTAATTACAGAGATCTTAATTCAGAAACAATTTTTTCATTACTTCTCTTTGTTTCCTCTGTTCTATTTTAGTTCACATTTCTTCCTATTATTATCCTCACATTTTAAAAAATAATGTATAAAATTTGTTTATGTGTGTGTGTGTGTATATGTATGGTATTCAGCTTTGTTTGGGTATTTTCCCACATCATTATGGTTGTGCTTTTAAAGTTGTAGCGACATTTCAGCAGAATCTCATCTGCCTTTCATCAGGCTTCTGTATAGTGTTCATCTGTGAGTCAGACTTTCATAGCCATTTCTGTTTTAAATTTGGTGCTGGCCTACTGCTGTGCCAGAATGGTTTTTTTGCTTCAACTTGATTGGTTGGGAGTCTTGGTCTGTGTTTATTGGTCTTGGAGTTTGCTGTGTTCTGCTTGATTGGTGTTTCTAATATCTTCTGTCTGTTTTGTGGCTTTTTTTTTGTCTTGATTGGCTGGCAACATTGTGTTCCTGTATTGGAGGCTTTTAGTGCAGCTTGGCTCCGAGTAAACGGACGACTATCGTTTATTAGGAAGCTAGGTTTCATGTGGGTGCCTGGTTGGGGTATGTTTGAGCTGGAGGTATCAGGGGGATCTGTTTGTGCCCAGGTGTTTGCTTAGCTTGTGGTGTGGAGATGTATGTATGTATGTATGTATGTATGCATAAAAAAGGAATATCCAGGCCAAACACAGAGTCCTTCTTTCCTGCAAGATTCCAGCCCAGGTCAGCCATGAATTCCTGAGAGAAGAGGCTGAATCTTGAGAGGCGGGTCCCTTGGTCAGTGCTCTGCAGAAGCAACCAGGACGTCTCCTCCAGGTCAGCGGTGACCCCCGGAGCGGGTCAAGAGGAGGAAAGCTGCTGCAGGAGCTGGATGATCTTCTCGGGTGTCTTGGGAGGGCAGGTCTGAGAGCCCTGGAGATACTGCTGGGCGTAGAGACAGAGGTTGCGGGCAAACACCGGTTCCACCTAGAGAGCAGGCAGAAAGGAAGAGAAAGCCATTCCAGATGGGTCTTCCAGCTTCTCCAAAGTGAGAAGGGCTCAGAAGTTGCATCCCACTGTGTTTCCCTGAAAATAAGACCCTGTCTTATATATATATTTTTGCCACCCCAAAAGGTACCAGGTCTTATTTTCAGGAGATGTCGGCCACTGACTAACTTCTCTTGCATGCATCGGCCCCCGGCCTCCTTTTCTCTCTCCGAGGCCTTCAGGAACTTCTTCTACAGCCGGTAAGGTTTTCCTGAAGGCCCCTGCATCCCATAACGGAGCTCTGGATCGATCCAGAGCTTTGTTCTCAGCTACAGAGGCCTTCAGGGAAGCCTGGCCACCCTTGCCGGCTGCAGAGGAAATGAGCCGGCCAGGCAGGTGTCAGGGGGGTGTTTGAGGCCTGGCTACACCTGTCCAAAGGTAAGTAGTAGGGCAGCTCTACTCCCTCCATCCTCACCCTAGCTTAATTTTTACCTGTGCACCTTGGAGCGTGTGTGTGTATGTGTAAATTAGGGCTTATTTTGGAGACCGCAACGGAGCCTGCTCTCAGGGCTCCAATAAATCCACCCCCATTCAAATTATAAGTCTCTAGCCACATCTCTCAGAGTTAAAAAAAAAAAAATAGGAGTGACCATGTCGGCGTTACCTGGGTGCAGCCGACTCTGAGACACATCATTCATTTCCCCCTTTGACCCTAGTCTTCTCCCATCACCACCCCGGGATGTATATTCTCCAATGGGACACAACCATAGCCAAGAGTCATCAATCATGCTGTCAGATGTGGAAGCCATCTTCCACGCTGCCGCCTAGCCTGAGAAAGTGGGAGTGTGTGCGTGTGATTTCAATCGAGCAGTTCTGAGCAGACAAAATAAAATCCTTTTCTTAGTTCAAGGTTATAAAGCGTGGCACAGCAGAGAAAAAGGATCTTTCGCTGGGGCAGATGGTGACTGGTCCATGGGATGTGATGATGGGGAGAAAAAGGGGATGGATTGTAGTTTGGGACACTGTGGGAAGTCCGGGAAACTTTTAGTTTCGAGATTCCACAGATGTGCCAGGTGCTATTCTAATAAAGGTACTTTTGAGATTATGCTTGTCTTGGGAGTTACCGATGGGAACGGAACGCTGACGTTATTTTGAAACTCTGAGATGAGCATAATCTCAAAAGTACCTTTATCAGAGGTACGTTTGTCAGAGTTGGTAAAAAGTTAGGATGTACATGCAGATAGGTTGATTAACCAATCCCATAATGAATTCCCTGACAAACCAAAGGGTCCCCTTGGAGGGGGGAGAGGGGGTTAAGGGCATTAACCCCTGGTTGTGTTCAGTTTATTATCTCTTTTAGGAGGTGAACTTCTCAAGGGGGGGGACGCCTGTCAGCTTTGGAATCTATATTCCACATTGCCACGCTCTCCAGTAATAATCTTGCGTGCCAACAGCTTTGGCTGCCTAGCAATTATCTGAAACATTTAAGGAATGCACTGCTTTCCCCCACTCCCTTTCTGCTGGCAACTAAAAAACCCCACAAAGAAGACACCTACCCCATTACAGTTATTAGTGGTTACAGTTGTAAACTGGGCTCACTCACGTGACCGACTCAATTTTACAACCTTTTTTTTGTGATGGTCGTTAAGTGAATCTTTACTGGTCTTTAAGTGAGCCCATTGTTTGCTATGGGGTGATTTTGCTGAAAACCTTAAAGAAATGCTGATTTTTTTTTGGCCAAAATGTTGCAAACCCGTGTCATAAACGCAGATTAGTCATTGCCAAGTGTCCAGAATATGATCATGTGACTGCAGGGGGAGGGGCGGCCATCAGAATTGGGTTGGAAGCCCCTTATGGAGTGGTCCCTGGTTATTTCAAATGGTTGCTAAGCAACTGGTCGCAAATCAAGGACTGCCTACATAGAATCCCTTCCATGAAACGCTTGGTGGCTCCCGAGACTAACTTTGTGACAGCTGTCTTGCCATTGGCCAAGCAGGCACGAACAGTAGCCAATCACTGCTTGAGAAATATGTTCCTTAAAGTCTGCCGGGGCAGCGAGTTGTGCAATAGAGAGAGAGGCTTGGATTTTTTTTGAGCCTCTCTTTCTCTCCAGCTCTGTACCCAGGAGGATCGGAGATGTAAAAATGGAGCCATGGACATGTGTTAGATGTTTCTTCAACACATTGGATGGAGTTACCTGAACCCTGAGTGTTCAGGGTTTGGGGATGAACTGGTCACTCCACTGACCCTCTTTGATGTTTGCACAATTCACAAAGCCTCCTTTAAAACCTGGTTAAATCACAAAAGATGATGGTGCAACGGGACCCTTCGTGGTCACCAAAATATTCACCTCTGCCGTGATGAATCTGTGGAGCTTCTGGTTGGGAACAGGTGGAAATTCTTCTCCAAAGCAGAGGTGGATCTGGTACTGCGGAAGCGGCTTTCCATGTCTGAGGAAGCCTCGTAACTCTGAAAGAAACACAAGAGTTTTTTTTTTAAAGATTTTCTTGATCCCAAAACTGAACATTTAATTGTGTCGAGTTGAGAAGTCAAAAAGGCGGATCGTCTTTTGCAAGAAATGGAAAGAAATGAAATTTACATCCTGGGAATTGATGATTAGGATTATATGGGAGCACAGGAGTAGTCTTGGATTGAGGGACGCGGCGGCTCGGTGGCTCAGACGCTGAGCTTGTCGATCAGAAAGGTTGGCCGTTCGGCGGTTCGAATCCCTAGTGCCACGTCATGGAGTGAGCTCCCGTTACTTGTCCCAGCCAACCTAACAGTTCGAAAGCACGTAAAAAAATGCAAGTAGAAAAATAGGGACCCCTTTGGTGGGAAGGGAACAGCGTTCTGTGTGCCTTCAACCTTTAGTCATCCCGGCCACATGACCACGGAGACGTCTTTGGACAGCGCTGGCTCTTCGGCTTTGAAACCGAGATGTTCACTGCCCCCGAGAGCCGGCAATGACTAGCACATACGCGCGAGAGGAACCTTTACCTTTATTTACAGAAGTAATATTAATACAGGCCTCTTCAAAACTCCCAATTTCTCTAACCCCCCCATCATGCTAGCACTGCCATGAGCATCACAGGTGAGGCACTGTCACCATGAGTGCCACATTGGCACTATCATCGGCGTGACCACCGCAGGCCCCCTACTGTCACCACAAGCACTGCACACACACACACACTCTCCTCCCGCAAGCACATACCGTCACCGCGAGTGCTGCACGCACACAACCCTCACCCAGACTGTGCATGCTTGTGGTCCCGTACATGCGTGTAAAGACACCGCCCTCTCTCCTTTGTGCCGCCAGTCCAGAAACATTGCGAAACTCCACAGTGGATAAAAATCGATGTTTTTTTTTTAATTAAAAAAAAATCGATGTTTTTAAAATTTAAATCAGATTTTTAAAAAAATCTAAATTGGATTTCTTTTTATTTGTATAAAATTTCTTTTAATAAAATGTTTTTGGAGTAAAAAATCTTCCTAAAGACAGTTTTCTATTTAAGATACATTCAAAATTTAATTTATTCGGCATGAAATGGAGCTTAGTTACGTAGCGTGCAGCTGTAGAGGCTGCAATATTGACATTTTTGGTAAACTCTTTCAAGGAATCCAAATTCTGGGAGCTAAATAGGAAACCTTCGTTTTGTTTGCAAATAATATTATTATTAAAGATTCTAACTACCAGCAAGAATGAGTCTTTGCGTTTATCAGATAACAGATAACAGATAACCAGACTTGGAAGGGACCTTGTAGGTCATCTAGTCCAACCCCTGCCCAAGCAGGAGACTCTACACCATTTCTGACAGCCCAAACTCTTCTTGAAAGTCTCAAGTATAATATCAGATCCATCCTGGAAGCACCTGTTAGCAGGCATCCACTCACCTGCTCCCCACTGTTAGGAATAACAAGGTTACCTAACGTAGTTTGGATAAAATAATATATATAAACTATGATAGTAAGTTTAAGTGTGTGTCACTTTAAACTGCAAAGCATGTAATTTTTGGTGCGGTGTGAAACCACCATAAGAGGGAGCAAGAGAACCTGCCGGATTGCTGACGATTCCTGACGATTGATGGTTTGATGGATTGATGGTTTGCTAACTGCGTGTTTCCCTACTGCTGAGTTGCTGAAGGAAGAGAGGAGGTTTGACTTCTTCTCTAATGCGAGGAGATATATTACTGGACTGATATTTGTAAGTTTACTGACCTCTCTTTTTCGACACTGGACTTTGCAACTGTATAATCCCCGGACGGACTGAATTAGTGAATGATATATGGACTTTTTGACTATGCTATAACTCTTATTGGAATAAAACTATTTAACTAGCACAGTGTATCTGTTTTACTGAGTGTAAGCTACAAAAACGTTTATCTCACATATTTTGCCTGCCTGCCTGCCTGCCGTGCAGATTCTGCTAGGGTGTATCCCTAACACCCACCATGTCCCTCACCTTGTGGTGTTCTTGCCACATCACCAGCTGTCTCATTAAAGTGAATGGGACTGTCAGTGAGTCAACAGTGGGTTAGAGAAGGAACCGCTGTGGGACAGATATGACACTTGCTCTTTAAAAATTTCGATTTGAATCAAGTTGGTTTAAATCAAGCCTTTTTACTACCGTGTTTCCCTAAATATAAGACCCAACTGGAAAATAAGCCCTAGCATGATTTTTCAGGATGCTCGTATTATAAGGCCTACCCCACAAATAAGCCCTACTTAAGATCTTCAGCCAGATGGATGCATTTATTTCCCCCCAAAATAAGATCTAACCAGAAAATAAGACCTAATGTGTGTTTTGGATCAAAAATTAATATAAGACCCGGTCTTATTTTCGGAGGAAACATGGTAGTGATTTAAATCATAATTTCAATCAAGATTTCAATCAAGCCTTTTTACTATCGTCTTTCCCTAAAAATAAGACCCAGCTGGAAAATAAGCCCTAGCATGATT